ATCGACTTGATGTTGGAGGCATTCACGAAGATCGGATAGGTTGATGCTGCAATCAATCACGCAGTGGAAGTTTCGAAGTTCTTAACGAATCATACACGCGTGAGGGACCTATTGCTATCAAAGTCTAACGAGGAGGTCGTGGCGAGACCGGGTGCAACCCGGCTTGCCACAAATTTCATCATGTTGAGCAGCCTTCAAGGATTGTACCTTCCTCTTCGTTCTTGTTTGGTTGATGCAGCATGGAAGGAGAGCATTGTGCTGACCACACATCGGCACCTATTCCGTGCAGCCACCGAACGCATCCTTGACAACACGCTTTGGTCCGGCGTGGAGAAGGTAATGGAGACCTCAAAGGGCCTGCTTGATCTCTTGAAGTTTGTGGATGGCAATGGCCCCACAATCAGCAAGATCTATGGCCGAATGGACAACTTAGTGGAGAAGCTCAGAGAGAATGAGGTCCTCACGGAAACGGAGAAGGACGAGTTGGAGGTGATCAATCATAATGCGACATTGGAATGCCATGACATCACCACTGCATTGTGCAGCAATGTTTTTGGACCCTAAGTTCAAAGCCAGCAAGCCGGAGCAAGATCTGGAGGTTGCAGACGGGTTCTGGACGCGGGTATACTCTTCGTGCAAGCGGCCGATGTACAAGGTGGTGGACGAGGAGGTTAACAATTGGATCAATGACGTTGGGAAGTTCAGGTCCGAGAAGGCGATCGAAGAAGTACGTGGGACGCAGCCTGCACGATGGTGGAGGACATGGGGCAGCGAGCTGCCTCATCTCCAAAGGCAAGCAATCCGTTTGCTTGGCCAGGGGTGAACGAAATTTGGAGCATCTTCGAGCACATCCACTCCCGCCCACGAAACAAGCTTTAAACAGTCAAGCTCAACACCTTGATGGAATCAGCATCTGTTGAAGAAGTTGACCAAGAAGCCCAAGCCCGGTGTCAGCCGAGAGATAGGGTTCTGTTGGCACACCAAACAAACTCTTTGATCCGCCCCGTGTCTGTCACCCACGGGAGAGTTGTTTAGGGCTCCCGTAACCTGCAAAAAAAACTGTTAGTTCTAATCACACAAGATAGGTAGACATCAAGCAATAGACAAGACTTTCAGAGACCACCGGTTGGAAGGAACGAAAAATGCATTTCTATTTAATCTAAAATGATGGGGTCTGGTGCGCTGCGACCGGGCCTCGAAATAAGTCCAATGTCCAGATCGAGAAAATCAGTCCGGGTCCCAACCGACCGCACTAATGATTGGGGTCGTATCCTCCTCCCGGTAGGGTGCCGTCGATAATGAGCTCACCGATCCCAAGGGACAGCGCTGGAGCTCTCCATATCAAAAGTGTTGTCGCGGGCACATTGGGGCCAGAGTTCAAGCTCCACCTTCATCATTCGGTCGCCTGCCCTGAAGCCTGGTCCCCAGCTTGATTCCGGGTCCGGTCTGATAACGTATGCAGATCCTAGGTCTAATTCGATCATCGCCTGAGGAAAAGAAAACCCGTAATCACCAAGAAAAGCCTGCCCAATCCATCCGTACGTTCATCCTTGATTTCGGCCCTGCCGCGACCGAGAAAAGTCACTATGAAAATTATCCCTCGGTCCTTCGATGCGCAGGTGCTGGTCCCAATCAACTTGGTCTGAAAGCACTGACCCCTTTTGGGTCGGTCTGATGTGTCCTGGGCCCTTATCCCTCCCTGTCGAGCAGATTTCCCCGTGGTTGGTACATAAAAACCGCCCCTTCCTGTGGCACAATACGGACCCCGGTCCTTCGCTCGGTGGTCGCCACCTTTTCACCGTGTTTCCTCACGGGGGTAGCCGCAAGCACGTAGACCGATTCATGGCCTCCACACATACCTGAGGAGAAGGGGAGGCCCCCTCTGGTCCCTGTTCAGGCTCAGATTTATACGGCGGATTTCGTTTCAAGTGTCGCCAGTGCTGGCAATCGACCTCGCAGATGATGTCGAGTGCG